AGGGACATGTATGACCCATTGGTCGTCAATGGTAAAAATCAATGACATATGAGAATTTTGCAGAGGAGTTGGTTTACTAGGGGAAACAAATAATTGGTTTACATCTCGGCTTTTGAAATGAAAAATATTTTTTTGTGGTAAATTTCAGCACAATTTCGATCATTAATAAGGCAAAAGAATTTTTCGCAAGAAGCCCAGAAGACGTTTGTTCGGGGATCCTTGCCTGGTTTTTAGCAAACAATACACCTCTTGTGTTCCGTCCCACTTTTGGGCCTAAACCCGTTTCTCACCACTTCAAATGATGTTCTTTTGTGGTCAGCAAAATAATCAATTAGTAGAGTGGCCAGCTGTGCGAATAATTCCAATGTAGGCATAGAAAAAGCATCTTAATTTGACGTAGAGATTCCGTTCTAAACAATCTACGCATTATACACACTCAAATCAAAGAGTTCGTAGAAACAGGCGCAAGTCGAATCGGTTTATCTTTCAAATACTGCTTCATGATTTTCTTTCCCCAAATTTTACCATATGTTCATCGATTTCCAGGAAGTTCGCCTCACTCAGCACTTCTGCGAAGGCTTTATTCAAATGAGCCAATTTAATATGCTTCACCAAACGATGGATCATATCGGTATGTCCGCTCAATACTATTGACAAAATGAAGCGAATTTCTTCGAATTTCTTTCGACTCATTACATTCGATGCGACTGGTATGGAGAAAATGGGAAATGTTGACCAATAAACCCCAGTTACTGGCAGGCGGCGAAGTGTCACAAAATAATTTCCAAATAGAATATAAGTACCTTATTCGTCGAATCTACGTTTTAAGCCGAATAAGTGGAAAAACAATGCCCTTTTGCTTATTATATATTTCTGACTATTGCTTCATCAAACTCAGCATCCTATCCAACTGAAAACTTTGCGAATTCCCGGCGCATTTCAGTCGGGCGATGTCAGGCAACAAGACCTTCTCGTATTCGTATTCTGGATTTGTGAACGTCGGAAGAGTGTAGTCGTCGTTTGAATTTAACCACTTCAAAGTTACTCGCTCAGATGGCTGTGACTTCTCTCGTAAACCTTGCACTGTATTCGCATCTCCGTGCGCGCAGCAGAGCATGTACGTCCTCGATTTTAATTTCTGATCCAACGTCTAGGCCGGCAGCTTTCTCTTCAAGAAAAGCATTGTCTTTATCGTGCAATTCGAAAGCAAGTTCATAGTCATCGCTATCATCGTCATTAACCAGTTTGTGCGATTTCGGCCTTTGAGTTATAAAAACGGCCCGACCTCGCCAGTTTGCAAAAGAAAACTGTCACAAATGCTCCGAAACCATTAGCAAAAATAGCGGGAACTTCCCGAAAAATTAATTCAAATCGATAAATGTATATAATATAATTCAGTGTGCAATAATAACCGATGATTCTTCGATAAGCGCCCGTGTAAATAATTCATTTCAATCGAAAGTCTGCTAGTAATAGAAAAAAAACTTTGTATATATTTTTACCACTGACGACCATTGGTACATTTTTTGGCGACATTTTTGTTTAATAAAATAGGTTCGCTGAACTGGAATCAGTTATCATAACTTTAAATTACGCAACGGATCAGTAACGGTCGTCAAAGGGTTAAACGTCGTTCCGTCCGCCAGTTACTGCGCACTTATTTATACAAAGTAGCAGACCTTATTGGATTATTTTTTATAGAAAAACCACTTTTTAATAAAAAGATGTTTTTTGAGTTTATGTTTTCTTTCCATTGCGTGTATAAATTCCCTAAATTTCGAAAACTCAATGTTCCAGAACGCACCAAGTTTGTTGAATAAAAGGGCTATTGTACTAATTGCACATGTTAGTAATCAACCCTGCAGAAAAAAAATATCAATTGATAAAAAATAACCCACTTGCAGTTAGCTTTTTTGCGGGATTTCTATAAAATATATAACTTGTAGTTAGCTACAAAAAGCTAACTTGAAACTAGTTGACAAGTAATGCAGGAGTAATGAAGGAGATTGAAAAGTTCTTTTCACGAATTTACGCACAAAAATCGAAAATCGAAAAATTAAGTAAATCGAAAATTATATATATTTGCTAAGTCGCGCGAAAGATCCGCTCGAAAACTACTTGAAATTCTCTATAAGATGCGTCTAATTACAAAACTTGACGAACCGGTAGGTACTCACACTTTAAATCTATAGCATCTAAATTTCAATGTTGATTATTAGATAAAAAGAGAAATATACTAAGTAATTGATAAATACCCTCACTCGAATAATTTATGACACTTAAAGAATTTAAACACTGCCAAATATATAACGCCGATTCCAGTATTTTTTTTTTTTTTTTTTTTAAATGTACCGTTTGTGGAGAGGAAGGTTGTGTAAATAATGTGAAATTTTATATTTATGACTTTTACTTCTCCCACTCTAAGTATTTTTTCCACCTGCCTCCTTATACGCACACATGCCTACACGTTGAGCAGCTTTTAATGCTCACTATGCATACAACAATGCAATATTAGCCTTAAGACCAATCCAATATATAAATACATGCATGCACAAAAATTAACTAATTTTTACATGTGTAAGTAGAATATGGCAGACAAGAGCTGCAAAAATTCGAATGTATGTATGTGTTTGACAATATGAAGGCTGTGACGTTTATAATATCCTTGTATGCATGACGTAGCTGATGACGCGCTGATGCTCGGCCGCTAAGGATGCAAATGCAGTGGCAGCTAAGAAGGGTTGTGGTTGCTGCTAGCTTAGCAGCTCGGAGCTGTCACTGAAATTGAAGGTTTTTATTTACATTTTGCTTTTCATTTTCTATATTGAATTCGACTGGTCAAAATTTTACATCACATGTATGTAATTGAATTGATTTTGAGAATTAACATGTTTTGGGTAGCTTGTGACATACATATTTTGGCTATCTTGTTTTCAACTCATTAGCTAAACTGAGAAAACTATGTATATTATATCAATAAAAGGATTAGCATACCGTCTCATTCAATAAAATGTGGCAAGTGGTTAATTAACATAGATATCGCAACCATAGCTAATATGTAGATGAGGCAGATACATTTTTACTGACGTTTTCTCAGTGTATGAATGTGTTTAAGTAGGTAGTAACTAAATATTTCGCATTCTGAATTTGTGTTCGCAAACAAATTTTAGTATTAAATCCCTGATTGAACCAAATGCTGAATAAAAAAATTGGGAACGTATAAGAAATTTCCCCATTGGTTTTTAACCGACTACAAAAAAGGAAAAGTTTATCAATTCGTCGGACTATATATATATGTATATATGTATATGGGGCGTTTCATACCAAAATGGACGGGGTTCACATTTCATTTGTTTGATTTATTTCAAATTTGTAAGGTTGATGGATAAACATAAATAATCAATAAATATGAAATTTTCGCTTGCTTAATACATTTTTAAAAACTTGACAGCACAAAAAAAAACAAATCGATTTCATAGTTCTAAAATTATCTCGATGACGGGGCAAGGAAAAAAATTAAAAAATGTCACACATACACACATGAAAATTATCTATGAAAATAAATATTTTTTTAATTTTTTTTCTTGAAAAATATTTCATAAAAAATTTTTGATAAAAAAAAAATTACTAAAAAAATAACAATGGCAACTAAATATTGTGCAATATTTAAGTATAGTACGTAATACTATAATAATCTAGTACTCTAGTAGTGCACTCTATAATATTTGAGTTATGAAATTTTTTTACACCGAAGTTGAGTGAAATAATTACATTACAGATTTACAATTTTTTTTAATTTTTTTTTTTATTATGCGGTTTTTTAGCCCATTAAATTTTAGTATAATAAAGTTTAAGCTTTAAGCTACTGCGAAATCGCGTTGCTTTTTAATATTTTTTATGCTGACGGCTTTTTGCACTTTCTTCTTATGGAAAAAAAATAACGCCAGTTTTTAAAAATGTATTAATCAAGCTAAAATTTGAAATTTATTTGTTATTTATATTAATCCATCACTTGTCTTGTACCATACAGATTTTTGCTTTTAGATATTAATTTTGGCCATACACTTTTCTAAAGTCATCTTCTGCTATAGAAAAATTTGTATCTGTTACGCTTGCCGTGTATTATATTGTTTTCCCCATTTGGTTCATCTTGTATGTAGTATAAAAAACTTTCGCTTATTTCCGCACCCCACTTCATTTATTTGTTTCATTTTTATTTTTCAGTACGGGCAACGTGTAAAACGCGCAAATTCGCTGGTGCAACAACAAACACCAAACAACAAATACCAAAAACACAAAACATTAAACAAACAACAGCATAACAGCGGCAACATCATATTCATAATCGTCAGCACACACCCACACACACACACGTTAGTGTTCGTATATTTACGCACACACTTTTGAGTGCTTCCTTCACGTGTGCCATGTTGCTACATACATATGTATGTATGTACATACATAGCTCGCTAGCGCCCAAATGTAGGCAAATGGAATAAAAGCGTGTTATAAGTTGCCTGATGTGTGGCTGCCGTATTGCCGTCGTTGCTGCCGCTGCCGCTGTCGCTGTCGCTGCTGCTCCTATTTCGTGTGCGCTCAATGCTCTGTGCATATGTAGTTATTTGCAAGTGTTTGTTTGTTTGTTTGTTTGTCTTCATATGCTCCTTCAAGTGAGCGAAGTGTGTTTGTATGCGCATATGTATGTGTGCGCGTATGTGGTATTTATGTTAAGTGCGTTGAGTTGGTGTTTGTTGCTTTTATTATTTTCGCCCATTTCTTTTCGCTGCTGATGCTGTAACTGCAAGCCGTTGCCTGCCGCCAGCCCTACTGTCTTACATTCTGCCTTTTAGCTCAGCCGAAATGCAACGCCCCTCCTAACCCGACTACGTCGCTCCCACCCACTGCCTGACTTCCACCTTTGTTTTTCTCTTTGTTGCTGTTTTGCAGCATACAAGGCGTTTTCTTCACACACACACACACACACACATAACTACACCTACACAAACATATATGTACTGTATGAACGCAGTGAAGCAGTAATTTTTCTGCTGTTTCTTTTTTTTGCTGTTCTTTAATTCTTTTTCGCATTACATTTTACTAAGTCGCGCTGTTGGCGTCGCTGCCAGCTCCATTCCGGTCCTGGCGCTGTTGGTGTTGTTGTTAATTTTTCCAACGAGTTGTATTGCCGCCTGCTCGTTATTTTTTACGCCCCCCTTTCGTTTAGATTTACTGTTCTATTTTCTGAAATTTTTGTTTGTTTTTTTGTTGCTTGACATGCGAACTTTTTCTTACTCCACAAGCACTGTTTTTGTTTGTGTTGTTTTTATTGCCATTACTGTTACTATTACATATACCCCTGCCCTCGCCTGTGTCGACTTGTTTTCATCCATCAATCCGCCCTCAATATTACTGCGTTCGCTTTTTAATCAAATGTACGTATGTATGCACATACATATGTATGTGAATAATGTACCTAAATACCTATGTACATACATATGTGCATATGTATGATATCGGTATATTTTCTTTTTTGATTTTATTCGCAATTTCTAATTTCGCAAATTTGTTTTGCTATTGACGTTGCCTCGCTGAAGTTGAAGTTGACGCCACTGCCTTTACAGCTTCGGACATTGCTGCCTTTCGCGCAGCTCTTCGCAAAATTTTGCCTGCCAATGTTTTCATGGCACCTAAATATTGGAATAACGGTCCAGATGTACGATAAATTTTTGCTGTAACTGTGTGATTTGTTGCTGTTATTGCGTTTGCTTATTTTACTAGGCATTGGTGCTATTTGATTAGTGTTGCTGTGGAAAATTTTCTCCCTATCCGACTTTTTTTTGATATTCGTTTTATTTTGCGTGTTATTTACTAGAAATTGCCACTTTGCTGTTAACTTTTGCACTTTCCTTGCATCACCATTTCGATATACTTGCACTGATGTAAACACTTTTTCCACTTGCACACAAATATTTTTTTCTAATTTTCCACATTCCTCACACGCAATTAATTATTACATATTCGCAATTCACAGGAATTTCATGTTGTTGCTGTGTTTTTTATTATGTGTGTGTGTAAGGAATTGGATTTTTCACAGCGCGCGAACGGCCAACCGATTTTTAGCTTCTGCTCTAAACGTACACAGCACCCGACGACGTTCTCGTTATGACTGATTTTCACCACATGCATCCAAGGAACTGCTCCGCTGCGCCTGACGTTCATTTGCATTCGGCTTCTGTACTCTCTGGGTTGAGATGGCATCTTGCTGTCCAGCATCGCTCAAAGCAACACTCGCTTACATTCGTGTTTCGTGCGTTCAATCTTCGGCTTTTATTTGTTCGGGTGATTTCGATTTAATTCGTTGTCCTGTGCCAAAACGTATTGTTTGTCCATATGCATGTACGTATGTTTGAATTTATACCTATTTTGTTAAACCAAGAATACTTTCGTAACTTGTTTAAGACCTCGTAAATACGTCGGAGCTTGAGAGCGGAAGTCTTTTAGCTCTCACTTATTCCCCAAAACTATTTTAACAAAAGTGTAAAATGGTTATATTCATGTACGCAGCTCACTTGTTCAATTGAGTGCAAAGTGACGAAAACGAAGAGAGTTCCAATTCGTTCAAATAAGTTATCTCGCTTTGTTTATAACACTTTTGCGCTTCGATGTCCTAAAGGGCTTTCATAACAAATTTAAGCTTTGAAAGCGCGTAATCCTCAATTCCCCAACCTTCTTGTTTCCTCTATACTTCTGTTTACTTATGTACTTCAAAATACGGTTTCTAAATCCACGGAGCTTTTAACGTTTACAACTTCGTTTCCGCTCAGTTTCTTTGCAAAGGTTGGCCTTGCTCGAAGCTTTTTCCATTTTTCATTGCATATCATATAAATGAAAAGCCTTTGGGCGTGTTTGTAGATTTAGAGCTTTTGCTCGCGTATAACAACTGAGTTCTCTTCGTTTAGCACTCTTCGACGTAAACGTTTTTGATGTTCGTATTAAATACACGATGTCACACTATGTCAAGTGAAAGTGAATTTGAAAGGTGGAAATAGTTTGTAGCTGTTGTTGGTTTTACTTTTTTACCGACAAGCAGAGATAATACAATCTTGTTTATAGTTTAATTCCTACGAGTGCATATATGTACATATGTATGTATGTATGTGTTACTAAAGCATTACGGAGCAATCACACTAAACGGTTTTGGGCCCAGTTTCGTACGGAATTTTTTTAATGGTGTTTTTGCAGATAAATGCAAGTAAATTAGTAAAATTTAACAAAAGACGAGCGACACAAAAATTAACTATACACACATACATACTTATGTTCCGTGTCGGCAATTTCGTAGTCGACTACCAAAATAGCAAATTTTTGACGCACTGTTTGCGGCTAACTTGTTATTGGTTTCAAATTCATGCAGCACTCGACCCCTTTCCGCGAAATTATCGTAGCAGCAACGAATTTTCAAAATTTTTTGAATGTTTTTTATGTATTTTTTTTCTTTTGACTACCATCAGAATACTTTTTTATGGCACATACGATAACTTCGCCCACAAAAAAAAAAACAAAATACATTGTAACACGCGAAAAATATATAGTGGAGCATAATGCAGTAAACAAAGTGAAATAGAAATATGACCTATGCTTATTTGAAAACTTAAATGTAAAGAATTCCTGCATTTGTCTACATTAACCCTCTTCTGGCTCTTCTTCATGTATGGCACGATTAACTACAACATCTCAAATTGTACAAAACACATACATATTTGGACCAATGCATTATGGTTTGGCGGACGCTTTGGTGTAGTGGTTATAAGTGCGCGCTACCACTCCGTAGAGCCTGGGTTCTCGGCCTGGTCAAAGCAACATCGCATAAAAATGTTCAAAAAAGGTTTTTTGTTAACAGCGGTCCCCCTCGGAACGCAATGGCAAACTTTCGAGTGTATTTCTGCCATTATAAAGCTTCTCGTAAAATTCATTTTCCGGTCGGAATCGGCATAAAACTGTAGAAGCCTCCCCTTTGTGTGACAACATAAAGACGAGAACCAAAAATTAGAGGAAAAGCTCGGCGAACCACTTAGCAAAAATGTAAGCACTAACATAGTATTGTAGCCCTTGAGGGAAAGGAGAAACTTCATGAGCTTCATGTCATATGCTCTGCACATAACCCTGGACACTTTGCAGCCTTGCGTTTTATTCCACGCCTTCTGCGCCTTTCAGATCATGGACAGGTCAAGTTCCGGTTTAATCGCTTGGAGGGAAATCAGCACCTCCTCTATCAGCATGGTTTCCGACTAAGCATCCTCTTTGGCCAGCCTGTCGGTCTCTTCGTTGCCCACGATGCCGGTGTGTCCCGAAACGCAGTAAAGATGTACGTCACTATTTGTGTATAGCAATTTCAGAGCTGCTCTGTACTCCGCCATACATCTCGAGGAAGTGCTATACGATAGTCGCGCCTTAATCACAGCCTGACTGTCGATGTAGGGATTCACCTGTTTGTTTACAAGGTTACTGCCCGGTAGCGCCGCCGCTCTCCTTATAGCCAGTACTCCCGACTGGAAGATGCTGCAGTAGTTCGGCAGCTTATGGGATTTGTTGAGACCGAGCTCCGCACAGATGACTGCCGCCCCTACGTCTTCCTCCATCTTCGACCCGTCTATGCAGCTGTTCACCGAGCCATTCGGCGCACCTATCGCCGTGAAGATCCAGTGGGAAAGAGAAGGCGGTAAGCTCCAGGAGCAACCCAGCATCCTTTTGCATGCATAGAATGCAACTGAGGCCTTCCTCGTCCTATCCCCCACACTGAGGCGCCACGACAGTTTGCTATAGTAATATTCCGAGATACTTGGTGCTATGTTTCAGCTGGAGGGTCACCCCATCCCGTTTAGGCTTGGACCAGTTCGGAACCTTGTATATCCTGGTGAAGAGTACTGTTATATATGTATAGTGTTCTAACTGGACATTTCTTGCTGGCATGGCATGCAGATAAACTGGCTCTGACTAACGATAAGATCTGTAGAAGATGCAGAGCGTAGCAGGAGACAGTGCAGCATATCCTCTGCCAGTATCCTGCCCTTAGCAGACTGTCGGTGAGTCTACTGGGTGCAGGTTTTCTACCCAATCTGGAAGCCGCCGCCAAGGTAGGGTATAGCAAGTAGTTTCAGTTTGTCCAGAGGATTAGCTAACTAAAGTGGTCGTAGTTCATCTGGTAGTGCAATTGGTCTCTGCGAAGCCAAGCAGTGGCTGGCCAGTATATCTAACCTAACCTAACATAATATTTTATGAGTAGTAAATAAATACAGTGAGTAATATCTTCGCTCTTGCATATTTTAGTTAGTAAACTAATTCAATGATATCACTCAATATCTTTATATATGAATTGTTATAATGCGGTTAGTACTCAAAAAGTAGTTCGTAAGTAGCAAAATCTGTACTCATAACGCTTCTCAATTCTAAAAACCCAAATTCAAGTAAAAACGCAACAAAAAGTTACCGCGCAAGCAGCACTAACAAAGTATTGCTTATGCTCCAATAGGCACGCTGTCTAATTTCAACTCGAAAAAATGAAAATGCACCGAGGCTCGTTCAAGAAACATATTGTATCTAAGTAAGTATGTATATGTGCGTATGTACTTATGTAAATAGTATATGAGCCAAAAACCATGCCAACAATATTGACGCGATTGCTAATTGCAACAAAAATGTTATCAACCATATTCGAAGTAGAACAAAAGTGAAGAGCACCGCAAAAGTGAAACAACAACCAAAAACTAAAATTACAACAATTTGTTGGGAATAACCTGGAATCTTGTTATGTGGCAAGCAGCATGCAACACAGCCAGCTTTCACTGTGGCACAGAATCGTTGGTAACATTAAATCCGCTCGAGTTACGCAACCACACGGGCATACCTATGTAGATGCAAACATACAAACATATGTAGCTATGTAAGAATGCATGTGCACATGTTGGCGCATCTACAAGTAAACTGTGTGAGTTGGTCAGTACAACGGCCGGTAAAATAAGAATATCGGTGACTCAGGTCTCACGGCTGGTAAGGAAGGTATGTCGGGCGGCCATTACAGGCATACATACATACATATATGCGGTCTATATCGTATTTACGGGCTTTGTAAAGTGTTGAAATAGAAAGTTACATTTTACTTCCTATGATGTGGCAGATATCATGCTTGTGGTAATTGCACTTGGTCATTGTTAATCGGGTGCTACGTAACGTATGAGTGACATAACTTAACGTGTTCATTCGAACGACATGGCCAAGCCAGCGGAGCCGCTGTATTTTAATTCGCTGCACTATGTCCATGCCGTTGTAACGCTCATACAGCTCATCGTTCCATCGTCAGCGGTACTCGCCGTCGCCAACGCGTAAAGGTCTGTAAATCTTCCGCAAGATATTTCTCTCGAATACTCCAAGAGCCGCCTCATCGGATGTTGTCATTCTCCATGCTTCTGTGCCATATACCAGAACGGGCATGATGAG